TACATGCACTCACTAGTGTAAACCCTCTGTTGGAAGAAAAAAGCATGTTTCTAAAATTTGAAGTTGCAGAAATAAGCATAATATTAAGAAGCTGATCTAGGACCTCTAGCAAGATCCAATTGTTCATTATTACTTAAGAGACAATATGTCCTTAGTTTTGTATATATGATAAATAAGGGATAAATAACAAGGTTTCCTGTTAATAAAAGTAATTATTATTTCCTGAACTTTTGAGAAATTATGTTAGACTAATTATGTTTTTTTTTATTATTATTTCTCACAGTCATTCTGTGGGAAAGTTAATATGGCCCACTCCCTATTGAAGAAGATGAAGGGCATAAAGACATCTTAACTCATCTGTCCAAGGGCAAAGAGCAAGCAAGTATGCCAAGCTGGATCTGAACCCAGAGAGCAGAATGCAGAACATGTACTTCCAGTTACTATCAGAAATATGAATATGTAAGATGTTCAGTCAATCACAATCTTTTTATTTTTAAAGAAAACAAATGTGTTCAATTCAACTTGATTAATGGAAATGGAATCACAAGGTGGAGAATGGTAAAAAGGCTCACCACTGCATGCTTGGTGCACTTGGAATGCCACTCAGAACCATACAGTCTCAGTGCCCCTCCACAAGGGAGCAACATCCTTGCACTTAATCATTATGATTGGTCAGAAAAACGGGTCTATTTGAATTGATCTAAAGCAATTTCCGTTGCTCCTATCCATCTCATAATTGAAGTTTATTTGTAATTCAGAGGACTACCATCTTCACACGGCTCAAATTTTGTTCCTGTCCACTAACTACTAGAGATTCATATGGTATTTTGTATAAAAATTCACCAAGTAAGATATTTGTTACCTCATATGGAGACTCTTTTATCATCATGGTTTTCCTGTGAAGTCACATAGTAGCTACTGGCCTTTATTCAGAAGCTGTCTTAGGCCTGGTCACACATGTGGTGAGACCCTGGTCAAATATGCAGGACTAAAACATAGTCATAGAGTCTTAATGGGCACTCTGTGCATTGTGGACATTCAACATTGAAAGCTCTTTTGCAATATAACTCTTTAAAGACCATGTTTATTCATTTGGAATGTTAATAAATAAATGTTCTTCATTATACAATAGTTTATAAAAGCCAACAGTTGATTAAAAATAACACTCTAGAAAGTCAAAAGTACACTGGTTAGTGGTTGAAGATTATACACATATATTTCCTCATCACAATTCTAATAACTCTATATTTTTATTCTCAGCATCTGGTACAGTGGGCTTTTTATATTTAAATAAATTTGCAGACATGCTGAGGCATAGTAATTGATAATTCTTACTATGGAATTTAACTTACCTCTATTATCACCTTAGCCTGTCCTTGCATATGATAGCTAATTGTACTAAAATTTTCAGGGCAACCCTAACTTTTTAACATCTCTCCCTACTTTCACACAGTTGTGTAAAATTTTAGCTTGAAAATACAAGTATTGTTATAGATCAACATAGTTAGGTACAGGGGAAATTTTATGAAAAACTAATAGAGCAATAGGCACCTGAAAATCCAAGTCCATTTGCTAGATAAATACACTTTGGGCACTCAATTCCAACCATTAGTTTCTCTGTCCTTTTGAATATGTATGCACCTTTTGCCGCTAAATGAATTCCCTTTAACTTCCCTTTTCATCTCATTTTGATACAAATGGCATTGGTATTATATCTTTGTATTTTATTTTTTCTTAATAGTTTGTCTATCTATTTGGAAAGATGTGCATATCAAAAATACTAAATTTACATCACACTGATTATTATGTTCATGATAGAGTGTTCTGTTAGTAATAATCAGAATATCTAGAAACAAAGACTTCTAAAAAGACTACTTTCAAAAGTTAGAAGTAAAAAGTACATTTTTTTTTTTTTAGTGGTACTGGGGATTGAACCCAGGAGCACTAAACCACTGTGCCACATCCCCAGTCTATAT